TTTTCCTCCTCTGGCAACTAGGAAAGTAATCTGGTAGCTCCTTTGCAGGTGGATGGTATAATTTAACCCTTGCAAATCTTAACGGTATTTTTGATGTCTTCATATAACTTGACTTGTCACCAGGCTGCAAATTCTCAACTATGGTTAGAGCAAAGAGCAAAAAGCAGCAGGAGGTGGAGGTGGATCACAGTGGGACTTTTTAGCTAAAGTAAGGAGTCTGAACTTTATCTTAAAAGCTATGGGGAGCTACAAAGGAGCAGCATCATCAAATCCACACTTTAGAAAGTACATCCTAGCAGTGTATGAGAGCAGATTTAAAGACACTGAGAGATTAGAGACAAGGAGGAGTTCAGAGTTTTATAATGCATAAAGAACATAAGAAAGGCCCAACAGAGAGTGGCAGCAAGGATGGCAAGAAGGCAGCATGGTAACAGGAGGGAAATGGGGGTGCTGCAGGAGGTCAGTGAGCATAAAACGGCAATGGATGGATTCTTTCTCACTCCTTGCACCAAAATACATTCCAGATGGAGCAAAGAGTTAAATATAAAAGGCCATAAAAATAACCCAAAAACATGAGTTTATGACTACATAAAAGTTTTAAAACTCCTTTGTGGAAAAATGATATTTTAAAACAAAATCAGAAGACAAATGACAAGCCTGGAAAAATTATTTGCAGCACCTGACCTAATGGTTTAACATTCAAAGAGTTCATACAAATCAGTAATAAAAAGACAAGCAATCCAACAGAAAAATTAGCAAAGCTAACTAAAAGCAGGAAGTTTCTAAAGGGATTCAAACTCTATTAAAGAAATGCAAGTTTTAAAAAAATACATTAAAACATTAGGTACCTTTTTTCACTTATCAGTTTGGGAAAGATTGAAAAGTGTAATGAAACCCACTGTTGGCAAAAGTGGAGAAACACACACCCTTTGACCATATAAACTGATATGCTTTTGGGGGGGGAGCAATTTGATAATATCAAAAATTCAGCTACCCTGACCCCGCAATTTAATTCCAGTAATTTACAATATACAAAACATATTCACAAAAGCATTTTTTCCCTTTTTTGACAATAGTCTCAAACTATAAACTATACTGCTATCAAAGACTGGTTAAATGAATTATATTAAACAATTAAAGAAATACTATGTAGCCATTAAAATGAACTCAGACTTTCTGGACTAAAAGATGTCCAAGGGATTTCAAAGTTTTTAAATTAAAAACACCAACAAGGGGCCTGGCATGTGACTCTTGATCTCAGGATGTGAGTTTGAGCCCCCTGTTGGGATTACTTTTAAAAAAATTAAAAATTAACATCAAAAACTAATGATGTAATGTCTGGTGATTAACATAACAATAAAAAATTTTAAAAAATTAAAAATTAAGAAACAAACAAAAAACACAAGTTGTAGTATAGAATGTGGGGTATGATCTCCCTTTTTTATTCTGTTTAGTTTTTGCTAGTTTTAAAGAGCTCTGTTTGCGCTTGCAAAGAAATTTTCCAGGACAATCTCTAGTCAAGAGACAAGAGATCTCTAGTTTTAATTTTGAGGAATGGAAATAGAAAGGAAGGCTTTCCCTTTACTCACTCATTTGTATTTAAGCTTAATTGGTAAGTCTGTTACTTTTATAATAGAGGAAAAAAGAATGTTCCCCTTGTAATCTAATGCCCACCTTATCTTTCCAACTATCTTGCAGTCATCCCTGCCTAAATCTCTTATTTCTATCAATCTGCTCCCTCTCCACTGGAATATGGCCTTGTGCCTACCCTCTTATTTGCCTTTGCTTATTATGTATTAACTATACCTAAAGGAATTTCTTTTTCATTTAGAATTCTGCTCAGCCTTCCACCTCTCGGTCTCTTCAACCCTGCCAGGCCACAGTTATATTGGCTCCTCTGAACTCGGAGCTCCAAACCAGGCATTTCAGAGGTACCTGCTGCCTCACTCTCCACCCTCCTTGAAGGCAGTGGCTGTGTCCTTTCTAGCAGCCACAGTAGCTGACACAATACCCTTTCACAATCGATGCTCAATAAGTAGATTAACCATGGCTACCCTGAGGCACTTCAGTTCTATATTCAAGATTTAATTATGTTCACTCGGTTATTCTAAGTCAAGAAAATGAATATATGTTCAATGGATTTTCAGCAACAAAAGGACCCTTTTTTAAAGATTTTATTTTTTTAAGATTTATTTAAGTAATCTCTACACCTAACATGGGGCTCGAACTCATGATCCTGAGATCAAGAGTCACATGCTCCTCTGACTGAGCCAGCCACGGACCCCAACAAAAGGAATTTCTATTCAAACTACATTTACTCTAGACTTCTACTAGAGTTAAACCAGATCAACTCACTTCTGGCATTTTCTTGTTACTTAAGGCTTTACTGTTTGATATTTGACTTCCCTGGCACTGAAAGGTCATTCATTTAAAGGCAAGCATATAACAGACTTCACATACAAGATTAAAATGAGCAGTGAAGTTTTGCTAAGACATCCAGCTTTCTTTATTACTCTTCATTCCCTAAATATTCCTACTTCTTATAAGAAATAAGTGGCTGGATAAAGTCTTAGCCTTCTTTCCTGTTTAATAGACCCTTCAATCAATTTTTTTACAAATATCTCAAAGTAACATACGCTCTGTTCTTTGGTTTAGTGTTCCTTTTTTTTTTTTTTTAAGTTTTAATCCCATTCGCATAAGGACAAATCCCCATGCTAATAATCAACTCCTTTGTGTTGTTTTCATAAAAGCTTAGTTATTAGAGATCTTTCCATTTCATTAGGAAAGGAAGTCACTAAAGATTATTCCTTTCTACCCCTAAATTACCATTTATTCCAAGGTCTCACTGGATACTCAAGAATCCATTTCCATAGTATTACCCATAGTCTACACAGCGTGGTCTTCTAGAGAAGGCTACTTACGTTAAGACCAAGGCTTAATATGGTCTACCAAGCTTCCTTATAATGTGAAAACTATCCACTACATACCTTTCACATATGGAGTCTGTTAAAAGCATCAGCAGTGCCAGAATTTCTATATAGGAAAGGCATAGCGTTAGCAATCTTGCTGGAAGGGAGCATGCCACAGGGCTGGGCGTGGAGCTAGGTTTACAGGGCAACCACACTGACTTTACTTAGACTGTGTCTTATATAACAGTAAGAATAACCAATTTCAGTAAAGACACTTCCATTCACAGTTGACATGACTTTATTTATTATTTAGGAGTAAGTTACTAGGGAGGGGGTTGCTAAGAGAAATTACAGTAGGATTATTTTCTGCCATCACCACCAATACCATTTTTCAGCCACCCCTTGGCACTGCCACTGGGTACAGATCACTGAAAAGTGGCGAGATGTTTCTTGATTTGTGTTAAGAGCCTTTCTGCAGTGAAGAAATTACAGTTATGATATAAAAACATCTTTTCATGGTACCAGTAGCCCTGTCTGATGGAGAGAGTGCTGAGCAGGAATGAGGTCAGAAACTAGGGAAGTTAAATTTCTCTCCTCTACCTACTCTCTCCTTAATCCACAGAGGAAATGAGTGAGAAAGTGGAAGTGAAAACAAAGTAAAAAGAAGAGCTGTGGAGAGCAGCTGTCAGACTGGCCAGGGGGGTTTTTACAGATTCCAGCACAGAACTGAAAAAGAACTGGACCACCATTTCAGGACTGTGGTGAATCCCAGTGTCTAAGTGGAGAAGAAGCAGGAACCCATCAGAGCCACTGTATAGTTAATTGGTCACAAAGATTCATTTATTCCAATTTTGATACAGTCACTATAACCTCAAATTATCCACACCTAGCTTGGTTTATTTTAAGGGGTGAGCGGCACTTGACTATATGTTCATCACCTATTCCCTCACTGTGTTCTTTTTTTAAAAAAAATTATTTTTTAAGATTTTATTTATTTGAGAGAGAGTGAGGGAGAGAGAGAGCGTGCAACAGAGAGCACAAGCAGGGAGAGAGAGAAGTAGACTCCCCTGTGAAGCAGGGAGCCAGATGTGGGGCTCGATCCTAGGACCCTGGGATCATGACCTGAGCTGAAGGCAGACGCTTAACCAACTCAGTCACCCAGGCGCCCCTCACTCATTTTGTTCTTAATTCTCTCTCAACACACACACACACACACACACACACACACACACACACACACACCTCCTAGCATTTCCCCATACCCAGGACTCACTAACTCTATACAAAGAAATTACCAAAAAAAGAATATTTAGGGGCAATGAAGTATTGGAGACTGAGCCTATCAGAGATATATGAACACATTCTCAAGTTGATTTTCAGTTAAACATAGATGACCATACTTGTCCATTACTTCTCCTTCCTAAAGCTGAAATAAAAATAGTAGCAAAGGAATTTTTTAAAAGGCATGAACCCACAGGAAAGAATGGGAAAGAAGACTGTAGTAGAAAAGAGAGAAACAGGAGAGTAAGTATTGTTTCGGAATATTGCTGAGAAAGTCAAGAAAGGCACAGCACAGTCTTGTGTCTGCAGAGGTAAAGAAACTAGAAGTGAATGAATGGCCCTGCAGGACCCCCAAGAGATGCCCAGAGACACCCAGGTGCAGTGGGGTTGAGACCCCAAACAGTAGTTTGATTAAAAGTCTGAAAACAGTGCAGTGCAATTAGACCCCTGTGCAAGTTTCCTCTTCCCTCCAGTTAGCTAAACCACCGTTAAGTATGGGGGCTGGACTGAATGCACCCTCGGATCCTTTCCAGTCAAGGAAAGCTCTACAGAAAAAGGTATGAGCTAAGACTTTAAGGATGTGCTGGTGGAAGAGGGTTGGAAGGTACGGGAGGAAGGCAGTGAGGGGTGAAAAGAAAAGGGATTTGTGTTTCAGGTCCTCCAAATATGTTTGTCTCTGCAACCATAAATTTTAAGTAGCAATATGACTTCCAAGTTAGATCCACACCAGTCAAGAAAGCCTTATGAGATTCTTGCCATAATAGGGGCAGGTCCTACAAATCTTTTCCTATTCACCACAGTCATACTTACCTCGCAAGTTTGCTGAGGCCAAGGACTTGCTTGTTAGGAAGGTAACCGATGTGAACCTTCAAAGAGACAGAAATCACGAGTTAAGTGAAAATCCAATGCTTCTTTGTAACAAAATAAGGAAATAAGGAAACAATACAGTATATGCATTATGTAATTCAACACAATGAAAAATGTATCTTTAAGATACATAGATTAAGACTTAGGGGACACCTGGGTGGCTCAGTTGGTTAAGTGACTGCCTTCGGCTCAGGTCATGATCCTGGAGTCCCGGGATCGAGTCCCACATCGGGCTCCCTGCTCAGCAGGGAGTCTGCTTCTCCCTCTGACCCTCTTCCCTCTCGTGCTCTCTATCTCTCATTCTCTCTCTCTCAAATAAATAAATAAAATAAAATCTTTAAAAAAAAAGACTTAGAAAATGAAGCACTTACAAAAACATTTAGGAAATTACATATATGCAGTAAAAGGAAAATATACACGAATGACAATGAAATGACAAATTTGAAATACAGTCATGGTATTTCCTGGTGAAGTTAAACTCTTGATATAATTCTTAAAGTCCTTCTTCTATTGAGGGGACACACTCTCCAGACAGTGCAAATTATCCTGTAACAACATTAAAATATAGCCAGGAAAGCATCCTTAATTTTTTTTTAAGATTTTATTTATTTGCTTTGAGAGAGAAAGAAAGAGTATGAGTGGGGGGAGGGGCAGAGGAAGAGGGAGAGAGAAAGAATCTCCAGCAGACTCCATGCTGAGCAGGGAGCCCAACACAGGGCTCAATTCCACAACCCTGAGATCATGACCTGAGCCAAAATCAAGAGTTGGTCTCTCAAATGACCAAGCCACCCAGGAGCCCCAGGAAAGCTTCCTTTAAATGGCTAAAACTGTAAATATTGCTATTCTACCTTAAAAATCCCACCCCATTGCCCAGAAAGAGGGTCTCCATGCTCTCTGTCATGGTTGGTGGCCTCATTTCCAAGCTGCTGGAGAACACTGTCTTCCTGATGGGAGATAAAGGACACAGCTACAAATGTGACTTGTCAAGACCTGGACCTTAAGACCTAAGTTCTTATAGGACCTACCTAAGGCCAAGCCAATTCTGTAATCTTAAAAGTCACTAATATCTCCTATGTCCATGTTACCTCTCTTTGAGCCATGTATCAATTATGAGAAAACATTAGTTCTACAAAAAGGCTAATAAATGGTCATTTGTAGGCAATCAATTAGCCTAATATAAAATCATAGATTCATTTGCATCATGGTTTGCCTGCATTTGTTGCATTGTTCAGCCAATACTATACATGTAAATAATTGATCTAGTAGTAAGTAATGATTTTTCATCTATTAGCACTTTGCTTTGAGAGTTTGAGAATACCAATTCATCACCTTCCTGGTCAGCAGAAAGAGAAAGTAAAGTAGCACCTGAACACTGGGTATTTCAAAGAAAAATAGAGTTAAAACTTTCCCACAGAACTTAGATCTTCTGTACCACTTGAAATTTTTATACTTATATGCAAAGCCATACTTTATTGTTTGTACTATTTTTTTTATCTTTCTGAAGATCCTAAGTCATTTAAATGTTGATTATAGAAAATCCTCACAGAATAATATATTTTTTAAAAAGTTAGCAAGAACACAATCACAGAGATAATCATAGCAGAAAGTAACAGGATATAGTGGTGAGAGGCTGAGCATGGATCAAGCTCCTAGGTCTAACCCCAGCCAAATCACTAACTCCCTCTGTCCTTAAATCCCTCACTTACAGTAAAAAGTAATAAGCTCAAAGTTCCCCCCTTCTTGAAAAACCTGAGCTCTGATGTCACATGGCCAGCATCATTAATTGTGGGATTGCCAGTCAGTGCATGCCTCTTGGTAAGATGGAATGCAGAGCCGTCAGCAACCCCATGAACTACTCTTAGTAAAAATGTTTAGCCTTCATATTAGGAAGTTTTAGATCTAGTCTAGTTTATAGGAAATCCAAAGGTTGAACAGAACAAATCCAGAAGGTGGGACACTCCACAGGACAACTGGCCCAGTCTCTTCAGTAAGAGAATGTAGGGGTGGGAGGGAGGAACTACTTTTATAAGAGACTTAAGAAGCATTAACAACCCAAGCAATGCAAATGTGTGACTCCTATTTGGATTCTGGTTTATTTATTTTTAAACATTTTATTTTTAAGTACTCTCTACATCCAACATGGGGCTCAAATTTACAACCCCGAGATCAAGAGTCACATGCTCTACCAACTGAGTCAGCCAAGTGCCCTTGGATTCCGATTTTTTTTTTTAGCGTTTTTTTTTAAGATTTTATTTATTTATTTGAGAGAGAGAGAGAGTGAGAGATAGAGAGCACGAGAGGGAAGAGGGTCAGAGGGAGAAGCAGACTCCCTGTTGAGCAGGGAGCCCGATGTGGGACTTGATCCCGGGACTCCAGGATCATGACCTGAGCCAAAGGCAGTCGCTTAACCAACTGAGCCACCCAGGCGCCCTGGATTCTGATTTAAACAAACCAACATTAAGACAGTTGAGACAACTGCAGAAAGGTAAATATGGGTTAGTTATTAGATGCTATTTATGAATTACTGTTAATTTTGTTTATAGTAGTGCTAGTGTGGATAAGAAAATATTTTAGAAATGTGTATTAATAATTAGTGATGAAGAGTCATGCTGTCTACAACATACTTTATATTCTTTAATATGTTGAAGAATTTACTGCTAACTTTTCAGGCCAATAATGAAATCAGAGTTACATTTCCTTAAAAATCCTTATCTTTTACAGACACATACTAGAAGAAATTATGGAAAAAAATAATATGATATCTAGGATTTGCTCCAAAATAGTCCAGTGGGAACTTATATATAACAAGATTGGTCCTTTATCGATAACTATTGAAGTTGGTTTTAGGAAACATGGAACTTTATCATACTAGCCTTTCTATTCTTATATATTTGAACTTTTCTATAACAAAAGGTTTAACAAAGAGAGATACCACTACATACACATCAGAATACTAAACTTAAAAAGACTGGAAGTGCCAAGTGTTGGCAAGGATGTGAAGTGACTGAGACTCACCTAAGAGTATATGAAGTATAAAGTGGTACAACCACTTCAGAAAACTAAAGATCAGTATTTATTAAATTGAATATGCATATACTCCATGACCCTGCAAGTCCACTCCTAGGTATATTCCTAATAGAAATGCATGCATATATGCACCAAAAGAATGCTGGTAGCAGTACTGTTTGTAAGAGGAGAGAGGGAGAGAGAGGGCAATGTAAATATCTACCAAGAACAGAATAAACTGTGATATGTTTGTACAATCAAACAATATATAGCAATGAAAATAAGCTACAATGACAGGCAATAACATCAATGACTTTTACAATGTGGAACAACAACAACAAAAAAGCCAGACACAAAAGATTTCATGCTGTCGATTCTTTCCATTTATAAGTTGAAAAACAAGAAAAATGATCTATAGTGTTTGAAACTGATATACTGGCTACCTGTGGGGACAACGGGATGGGTTAGGGATTAAAAAGGGCACCAGATGAGCTTGCAGGATAGTAATAATGTTCTAGTTCTTCATCTGTGAGGTAGTAAGGAATGCCTTTATAATTTGTGCATTTTTCTATGCTTCACTTTATAAAAAAGTGAAAAAATAAAATACTTTAACAAAAAAAATGTGAAGCAAATGTTAACACATTAAATTTAGGTGATAGGTATATAGGTACTTGTAACACTATTTCCTGTAAGTCTTCTGTTTAAAAACTATTACTAAAAAGTCAAAATAAAATAAAATTATAATGGGGGAAGGACAGACTACTCTTGGTCCTAAATCCACATGTTTTCAAAGGGATCTTTAAGTAAAACAAGCTAGATAACATTATCTAGTTTGCATTAGGTTCATTTTTCCTAATACAGAAAAGGTTGGAAACAAATTAAATCCACTAATACTATGACCTCTGCCACAAGAAATTCTGCAATCATTGCTGCTCATGCCATATTATACAAAAGTATATCTTGGGTCAAACATTATTTAGTCAAAATAAAGAGCAAAGGTTTTCAGAGCCTGCAGCAGCTACCTAGGGAAAAAAAATGAAACTTTAATCTCATTATTTTAACCGATTAACATGGTATTTACTATGAAATGTTTGCCCTGAGGACTTTCTGCTACTTTGTTTTTGTTTGGTTTTTTTTTTTTTTTTAGATTTTATTAATTTATTTGACAGAAAGAGCACAAGCAGGCAGAGCGGCAGGCAGAGGGAGAGGGAGAGGGAGAAGCAGAAGCAGGCTCCCTGATGTGGGGCTTGATCCCAGGATCCCGGGATTGTGACCTGAGCCAAAGGAAGATGCTTAACGGACTGAGCCACCCCGGCACCCCTTGTTTTGTTAGTTTCAAGCTATTAGATTAGTTAGGTTGATAAAGAGTAAATGTTTATGTGTACCTCTACATATCTGGGATTTTAGGAATTAGCAGGGGATGATCTTAAATATAATAATCCTAATTTTAAAACTTTAATGTGCTTTTTAAAATTCCTAGGAAACAGAGAAAAACTTACCTTTCCAACAAATGGAACTAGATGATGCTCACACATGGAAAACATATCTATGTCCTTCACAATCACCATCTCATCATGATCTTCATCAAATATAGCATCATTTAGGACATCTGAAATCAGAGGTTTGCTTTAGTAACATTTCCAATTTTATAGAAAGATATAGGGTAGAAAAACTAACAATCTCCATGGATAAATACAGACTGACAGTCAACAAAGACAAAACATTAATCCTAACTAAAATATTAAGGGAAAGCAAATTAAAACTAGTTATTTTTCTCCCACCAAATTAGCAGTCTTTCTCTTCAAATGATGAAAAACTCCTTAGGATATAGTATTACATAACAAATGCAGGATTACAAACAAATGTGTTTGCTGCGTGACAGAAGGAGAAATTATGCAAAACAAAAGAGTGGCTATTTCTGGTGATGGAAATGAGCTGCTTTCACTTTCTTCCTTACATTTTCTTGTACCTAACAGTTTCTCTAGAATGGATGTGTAGAAAACCATATCTGACTTCTGAGGCCAGAAGTCCTTAGCCATCTGACTTTGAGGTCAGATCTAGACACCTGTAAACTTGATAAATTATCTATCCCCTAAATAATCTACTCTTACAAAATTTTCTAGTTACTGTATGCAAGCATCAGACTTAAACAGTTGCCTTCTTCCTTAAGGAAATAAATGCTACAATTTTTATGTATATGCCTGTCCAGATTGGATTTTGACCTCTGGATTCTGGTACATACGGCCAGGCATATGACAGACATTTAGAAACAAAAAAGTTTTATTTTTATTTTTTTATAGCTTTTGATTCATTTTTATTTTCAAAAAAGCTTTATTTTTAAAAAGTGCACTGGTATCTGGACATCTTGGCAGCCTACACACGTTCAAGACTCCAAGCTGTGTGATTTCAAGGATTTGGGGATACCCATCTACATAGTATGATGAGACAGAGGGGAGGAGATGCGTTGAGGTTTGCAGCCACCTACAGCTATCTCCCCTCAGAAAGGCAGGCTGTGGAGTGAGTCACAGGGAAGAAGTGCAAACGTCCACCCACACAGCCTGACCTTCAGTGGCCCCACTGCTACTAGAATAGAGGCTCACAGATATTGAATCATCATTTAACCACAGTTATCATCCCCTGAGTCAGGCTGTTCAGAGATACATTTGATTGTGTAGTGGAAAAGTCATTAGTGTGGTCAACAAAAGTGAACACGTAGGGTTTAGATACACACAGACAAACACAACACTCCTGGTTGGAGAGGCTGATAAAATCCAGGGAAGGAAAGGCTCAGTGTCATTCTTGAAGTAAATACTTCTCCAAAAACAGTTTTCTATTCTGAATACTCTGCCCTAACCTTCAGTCATATTTCTGAAAGAAGTCTAAAAAAATAGACCCTCAGTGCTACCCAAAATATCTTGGATTTCCCCAAGATTTTAAAGTCATACATAACTTATTAAAATCTTCAGTTACATAAGAAAAATTCCTGAAAGTAAAACAAATTATTTCTTAAAGAACAAAAGAGAATCATTGAAAAGCAGCATTCATTTGTTTTCTCCAGCAAAGAACGAGAGCATCCCCAATTCCAAGCTCTGACAACAACCATATGGCCCATGTTAAAATCTGGTCCTCAAGTTAGGCTAAGTGAGCATCTGGATCCATCACTAACTAGCTCTTGAACCTTCAGCAAAGTACTCTGTGCCTCAATCTTCTAAGCTGTAAAATGGGCATGAAAAAAGTGCCTACATTTTTCAGGGGTCTCCTGAGGCTTAAATGAGATAACCCACATGTGTTTAAAAGTGAGTGGAGTGAGTGGTAGCTATTGTTATTACTATTATTATAAGTAAGGTGGAAAGAGTCACTAAACTATGTGTCCCATGCACACGAATACACATCAGAATTTAAAAAGCAGTAATTTCCTTCTAAGAGACCACAGAAAAGGAAAAATAGTAACTGCAGTGAGGAAACCTGGCAAACACTACTTTATCCAAGTAATCCAGGTTAACTTTACCAGTAATAAGACATATTGATGCCATGTAGCTCCTGGTATAATTCGATGAGAAGGGCACGTCACCTCTGTAGTGTTCTTCCCCAAGTGTATAACTGAGGTCTAATCACCAGACAAATTGAGGGACATTCTGCAAAATACCCCAACAAGTACTTTTTTAAAAAGACATGGGAAGACTGAAGAATTGTCATGGATTAGAGGAAACTAAAGAAACATGAAAACTAAATGCAATGGAAAAACTAAAATCCACATGAAGTCTGTAGTTTAGTCAATAGTATTGTACCAATATTAATTTTTTAAGGGATGATAACTGTACCATAGGCCGTATGAGATGTTAACATGCGAGGAAACTGGGGCAAGGGTACATAGATACTCTCTGTACTATCTTTGTAAGTATTCTGTATGTCGAATATTATTTCAAAATAAAAAAGTAAAAAAAAAAAGCAACATGACAATGCCCATCAACTGGCATGTATAAACAACAGAGTACCATTCAGCAGTAAGGTGGAATGACTACTAATACATGTACTAATATGGCTGAATCTCCAAAGAATTACACAAAGTGAAAGAAGTCATATACATACATACAAAAAAACTATGCATGAAATTCTAGGAAATAGAAGCATAAAGAGAGAGAGCAGACAGATGGCTTACCAGGGACCGAGGGATGGGAGGCAGGACGGATTGCAAAAGGGTAGAATGAAACTTTTTTGGGTTATGGAAAGAGTCTATACCTTCATTATCCTGGTGGCTGTGCAACTGCATGTATTTGTCAAAATTCACATTGTACACATAAATTTGGTGAATTTTATTGAATTTAAGTTATCCCTTAATGGAGCGAACTTTTAAAAATAATCTTAAAAGGCTGTAGAATAACCTGCAACCTTTTGTGTGAAGAAAGTGGAAAGGGGGAGATATGAACATATATACATTTACAAGCTTATCTTCAAAAAGAAACACTTGAAGAATATATCAAAAAGCTAATAAAAATGATTAACCCATAAAAGACTAAGAAAGCAGGAGAGAAGAAATATGGATAGAAGTGAGGACATCTTTAAACATAATTTGTTACACAGTTGACTTTGAAATCATGTAAATGTTTTACATACTGGAAATTAAACCAAAAAGAAAAAAACTAGTGACCCTCATAAGTCTTAATGTTTTGTGGTAATGGAGCAATATTATGTTGCCTATATCCCATTTCATAAAAGTGAACCCAGGCTATAAACTTGACCTAGCCAAATCATTTTTCTTCAATAATGAAGTTTCCCTGCTATATTTATTTATGTTTTGCTCCAACATATCTGAAAGCTACCATCTGTGGCTAATAAGAACAAAACACTAACACAGATTGTTTTAATTTCCTGCCTGTTATCAGCAGCAAGAAGGTAACCCTGGAAACAAGGATTTATGGCATTCTATTTCCTACTGTTGGTCATAACCAACAAAGAAAACTGAAAGGGCCTCCAAAAGTTAAAGGTTTGTCTATTACAATGCCACACAAAGAAAAATGTAAAAGTATACCTTTCTCGTGTCATTAATGATTAAGCAATGACAACAAATAACACTGCTGGACAGCCATGCCTTAAGTATTTAGTCCCTTCCTTAAAGTACAGTAAGTCAGGTCCATAACAGGAACCCAAGTTCCTATTTAAGCACCGTCTGAAGCAGGGTGCTTCTCAGACTCCCCCAGTGGGCTTGTTAAAACTCAAATCACTGGACCCCAGTCTCAAAGTTTCTGATTTAGTAGGTCTGGGTGGGACTGAGAATTGGCATTTCTAACAATTTCCCAGAAGATGCTAACGCCCCTGGTCTGGGAACCATAGTTTGAGAACCCCTGTATTAAAGTTGTATTCAATGTTTTGTGCTGCTACCAAAATCTTCACATCTTCAAAATGCTCCTATTCAAACATAGTAATATAAGAAACATGGGCCTGCTTCTGCAAAGGTAAAAGGGGGCAAAATCTCTCTCCTGCAAGAGATTCCCCACAAAAGAAAAATTCTACCTAATGGAATTTCTTTTGAATGAATGGTAATAGGAATTAGCATCATCTAGGATGTTTGGTGATCAGCACCAAAAATTAGAGATCTCTGAAGAAGCCAGAATTTCACACCCCATGCACTTCCTGGAGAACAGTGCTAATAGACAATGGAAGAAGGCTTGGAACACTGAATGTGCATCCATCCTAAGGGATAGGAAAGAGAATGGGGTATGCCTACCGATTTTAGGACTAAGACAGCAAAACACAGAGAGTGAGAGCTAAAAAGTCATGAAAAGCCTCTTTGCTCTTGGCTGGAATTAAATCAACTCAATGGACTAACAAAGACAAGCCTACCCTGATTTAGTGGAGAGAGGTCTGAATCACTGGCCCAAACCCTCCAATATCAGAGCTGCCTCTACCAGCATAGAGCACTTACTTCATCACACCTCCTGGTACCACTGTCATGTGTATAATTTCTCCCAACCTCGGAGGCAGGCATTGTAGCTTAAGATTTTAAAGTTTCCACCCAGTGCCCTATATGCCATGCACAGAGACAGAATTAAACATAGATCTTCCATTTTATCTAATTAATATGTCAGTCTTTACCCTGTGAGTTTACTTTCTTAAGATAGATTTCAAAGAAAGGACTCCAAAGAAACTCATGTGGCCAAGGGAACAGAAGAATTATCATTGCAGCATTATTGGTAATAAAAAAATTAGGAATTTAAATGTGCATCAGAACAACAATTACACAATTTGGGTAGAGTCATACAATAAAATATGGCCCAGCAGTGAAAGTGAGTGAATCAAAGCTGAATTTATTATTTCCTGAAACAATGTCCAATGAAAAAAGCAAGTATTAGAAGTAATAGAAGATACATACAGTATGATGCTTTAAATGAACTAGAAGAAAAATTACATGTTCTTTATGGGCTTACATGTGAAATAAAAGTATAAAAATAGACATGAGAGTAGAGGTCAAATTCAGGATAGTGGTTAACTCTGGGGAGGAAGGGTAAGAGCATCAGAAAGAGGTATCTATGAAACTTCATCTATATTTTCAAAAGCAATTATAGCAAAATATTAAGAGTTGTTAAAACTAGATGAATGTTGGTTAAACTA